AACGCGGCATATGAAAGGCACACAAACGCAGGTATGCGTAGTGTTACCTAAAGTTTGATAATAATGCAGATACCAATAGGAGAGACAGTCGAACTCGAATTTCGAAACACCTCTATCTCCGTCGATCTTCAATTTAAATAACATTCAAATTTCTACCTCGCTCTAATGCAATTTCGAGCATTCAAGTCACCTAAGCCGCAACTTCAGGAAAAATTGAATTTCCAGACCAACCTAAGCACCATTTCTCAACAGGTGTCCGAAAGGACTGCATCCAGCTATTCCCGTGGCGGGATATCATTTTCAAGAAGAGACCGTCCGAAGAAAGAATCGCGTTATCAGTTAATGAATCTCCTCCCCGTCGAAAAGAACCCTCAGAACCGTCTGCTCGTCTGTAGAGAGACTCCTCTCTCTCTCTCCTCCCTTTCTCTTCCTGAGTCCCGACAATAGAAGCGTCCAACGAATTTCGAAAAGAGGCGAAATAAAAAATGATCCTCGAGTAGTGGAGGAGAAGAAGGAAGGCAGGCAGGCAAGAGCAAGGAACGAAACAGCGAGAGAAAGAAAGAAAGGAAGGAAGGAGAGAGACGTTTCTCTCTCTCTCTCTCTCTCTCTCGTTCCAACCGCTTGCTGCATGCCTCTGCTCGACGTCCGTCCGACTGTCCGTCTTCTCTTTTCATCCTTGCTGCCTTTTATCCGGCTCGAATGATTAATGGGTTCACGGAGGCATCGCTGTCCTCCGCCCCACTGCGCGCCTCCGCCAGCCACCAGCAACACACGCGGCTTTTCTGCTTTTCTTCGCGCCGGATTAACCCACCTCCACCTCTCTCTCTCTCTCCTTCCTTCTCCACTCGATTCAATCACTGCCCCGTTCCCTTCGCCCTTTCAACCCCCGCGGAACATCATTTTAAACTGGATTAATCGAGGATATTTCTCCCTTTGTCTAAGGAGACGTTCGCGTTTAACGTTTAGTCGAAACGAGATTGAAGCGCAGTCGAGCTTCACTTGGACATTTTTAACACCTTGTAGCAACGCGTCAGACTCGCGAGGATGTGAGAAAAGTTCGGTGTATTCCTTGGTTTCGTTTTAACCCCTTGCAATCGAGCGGCGACTGAGATCAACCTTCCTAGACTCGCGTGACGAAATTGGGATTCGCTTGTTTTCGGAATGAATTACATGAAACTACGGTAGAAATACCATATTCCGATCGTTCAAAAATCGGCGAGAGACCGACGCGAGTCGGTGTGCACTGAAAAATTGCGCGAGTTCAGGGTGGTTAAATAATTAAGGAAGACAGACAGCAGGTCTATGGTCCTCCGTAAATTTCTTCAGCATAGTAAAATAGAGGATACACTGAATATTTAAACAAAATAGAAATTTCAAAGGAGATCCGACTTGCAACCTCTCCCGCAGCAAAATCGAACGGTTGACGCCTAGATGCACAGCCGAAGAAGGAATCGTCGATGTCGTTTTTCAAGGATTTTCGAAGCTTCGCCTTTGAAAGACAGCGGTTTTCTGGATTAACGCGAGGAGGTGCACGCGGTTAATGTATTCGTGGCGGAAGAAACGGACACAGGCGGTATATTGGAAGAGACGCGAAGGTTCGCAGAAAAGACGGACGTTTGAAGAGAGTGTTCCTTTTGCCCGTGCTCCTTCGTCACTCGATTCACGCGCGCCAAGCGACACACGCCGCTTTTACATGATAAATTACGAGCGATTTTTCCCCCTATCAGTCCGCCAGAGGTAGCCTTTTGTTCGCCACGGGTTGCGTTTGTGTAGGTGGCCGTACTGCTAGAGGAGCTCCACTTATTTTCACCTGGCCGAGGTTAAAAGAATCCCGCGATTCCAGGTCATCGTTCTCGGAAATTATTCCAATAGAAGAGACAAGTGACAACCGTGTAGAGAGTAAAGTTTCTACGAATTAATCCTCCATCTCTGAAGCTTGCTGTAACACTTGTTCACCAACGAGGATAAAGCCGGTTACACGTGTCAGCAAGATTCCCAATTCTTGACGAAGATCGAGAACGAAGAAGGAGAAGAAAGAACGAGGATGACGTTTCACGAGGCATGTCGCATTCGATTTCACGCGGTCAGTTTTCTGGTAATTGGCAGGATGCCGTGAATTTAATCGAATACGACGAAGATCGTCTACTACACGTCCACGAAAGACTCAATCGAGCAACAATGCACAGTCCCGTCGGGGTCCTTTTACATCGACGTAAGGTTAACTTACATAATGTATGAATATCGAGCGGGTGGGGGACCTTTGAACGATGAGTCAGTCTTGGAGAATTCAACAATGTACCGAGAGAATAGAATCCGGTAATCCACACCTTTTTCCATTAATTTTCACCTCCAACTCTTCTATCTCGTTCGAACAGAAGAGATCGCCTATTTCTTCTAAGTTTGTTTTTTTTTCATTAGAAACGTCTCTCGAGACTGACTCATCACTTCGAACGCTTATTATTCGCTTTGTTCTGTAAACTCTTCGAACAGAGAAATAGGAAGAGAGAGAGAGAGAGAGAAGTAACGTTCAGGTATATACGTAACGTGTGTGCAAGACCCGACGAAGAAAAGTCGATTCACGATGTTTAGGCTATGAATCAATCAGAGTGTGGCAGAAGGTAATTCAAAAAGTCGACGTTTGCCCTGAGTGTATCTTGGAGGTAAATGCGAATGGAAGAAGAATAGCGAAATTGACTCGTTAGAGGCAGTGGCGTGTGCGAGTCTTGAAAGAGAGAGAGAGAGAGAGAGAGATGGGAGACGAGAGGCGTACAATACACACCGTGGGGAATTCGTGAGACTTGTCAACCCACGCGAGACGCGCGGCAACGGGAAACGATGACGCTGGCTGATCTCAAAGGGGCATCCATCGATCGCGAGGCAGTCAACGGTTCGCGCGCGCGGGAACCGACCGACTTTATGAGTTATAAGTCGGCCATCTTGCCAGAGAGCCATCGCATATTCACGTGCGCGCATATGCGATGCACTGGCAATATGTAAGTGCCACATTCTGTTCTGGTGCATACGTACAGTCTAATCTAAAAACTAACCTTACTCCACACGCTCGAGCATTCGTCCACGTCTCTACTAGGGCTGCTACGAAAATTCCAATATCACCAAGTGTTCGGTGCAATTCCAACACTTCCAATATTCCAATTATCCGAGTTATTCGAATAACCCGAATAAAAACATCGTATTCGGAAGTATCCGAGTTATTCGAATCGTCCGAATAAAGAATCTAAATTCGTATTCAAAATTATTCGAATTATTGGAATGGAAAGTTCCTATTTGAAATTACTCAAATTATCCGAATCGTCTGAATAAGGAATTCGTATTCAAAATTGTCGGAATTATTCCAGTTATCCGAGTAAAGAATTCCTATTCGAAATTACTCCAATTATCCGAATCGTCTGAATAAAGAATTCGTAATAAAAATTATCCGAATAAAGAATCCCTATTCGAAATTATTCGAATCAACCGAGTAAAGAATTCGTATTGGAAATTATCCGAAGTATCCGAGTAAAGAGTTCCTATTCGAAATTACTCCAATTATCCGAATCGTCTGAATAAAGAATTCGTAATAAAAATTATCCGAATAAAGAATCCCTATTCGAAATTATTCGAATCAACCGAGTAAAGAATTCGTATTGGAAATTATCCGAAGTATTCGAATAAAGAGTTCCTATTCGAAATTACTCGAATTATCCGAGTCATCCAAATAAAGAATTCCTGCTCGAAATTATCCGAATTATTCGAATCATCCAAACGAAGAATTCCTATTCGAATTGTCCGAGTAAAGAATTCCAATCCGAATAAAAAATCGACATTCGAAATGATCGGAACGATTCGAACAGTTCGCTTATTCGAGGTTTCGCAGCGTCAGCCCACACTTGGTGCACTTGGAATTCGGAATTTAATACCGGCACAAAAAAACTATGAATAGAAAATAAAAAAGATAATTGAAATCTGCCGTGGAATAAAATGAATTCTGATCAACTGATCGCGATAAGAGAGCCATTTGTCCCCTTATTGGATTGGATCTTTTTCTAGAGCTTCTTAATAACAGAAGCAGCTGATTCCCTCTCGTTCCCTTTCCTCCCCACAGGGGAACAGATTGATCAATCAGAGACCGCTTTCACGGTAACTATGTTTTGTTCCGATAGAAACTATGAAAACGTGGCGCATGATCGATAAACCGGTTCCACCCTATTACGATAAGAGAAACAATGAATCCACAATCGGGTTAATAATCGTTTCTTTCTTTCTTCTTCCTTCTTCCTCCCCTCCCCCCTTTTTTTCCTTTCTCAAGTCGCTGATAAAAGGAACGTTGAAACGCCGAGGTCAGAGAGGAGAGATTGATTCTACGCCAAGTAGAATCACGAATCGTCGACCGCTTGCAATTGTCAATTTGTCTCTAGTCCAGCCCCGAATTCGATGCCAACCAATCGTCCGGCGTGCCACCAGTTGGCTCGGTTAACGATTTCGTCGAATACCGTGAACGCCTCTAATTTCTCTTCACCGAACACGATGGTCGCGTCGCGCCGCGAGTCCTGCCGCGAATAATAACGATTCGTAGAAACTGACACGATCGTTCGTACGCTCCTCGATTGGTATTTATTTCGTCGGATCCTTGAAAATCGATTACTTTCTCTGTTTCTCTTTCTACGCGCCGCCCACGCGTTTAACACCTCTCCTCGTCCGACTATTCAATTTCGAACTGTTTCGAATTATCGACACGTTCGCTGCTCCGAGTGGAGTGGAAAAATTTACGATTACTTCTTTGCTAAGGAAGTGAAGTATTTCATATTTTTCTAAAGTTCGAAGAAAAAAGGATATGCTTCAGAATGCATTCTTTGGATTCAAGTGACACAGTTAATTCAATTATTTTCACAAGGCTCGGACAGCGAACGTATCAACGGCTATTAGCTTTCTACGTAGCTGATCTAAATGACCGATAGATTCGTCAGGGGAGCTGATAAAAAGAACGACGATCGAAGACTCACCATGAGACTGTTGACCAGTCGCAGGGTTCAGGAAGGTCGGCGGTAGCTGTCTGCTCACTGACTTCGCCAATTCTCCACCCGCCAGCCCGTAGATCGCCAACAGCTCTTGCATCGTCGATTCCGCGTATTCCCTCATCCCTTCGAAGGGTTTCCTCTCTTCGCACTCGGTCTCACCGTCAGCGTCCTGTCCCCGCTCGTCTTCGAACGCTGTATCGTCCAAACGACCTGACTCCGTGTCCAGGACACCGCTGTCGCTCTTCTCGGAGGACTCGGAGTTTGGACTCCTGGCCTGGACAATTCATGCAATTGTTACTAACAACGTTAACCCTTTGCTGCGATCGGAAACAGCGTGTATCATAATATAGATCACCGATGGTACATGAAAGTTTTCGGAAACTTAAGAAACTACTTTTCGACTCAATGCAGAATTTCAGTATGCGAAGGAAAATAATTCGGTCGTCGTCGATATTTTTCTACGATTAACTTTCGGAAACGGAAATTTCTGGCACAATGCAGAATTGTGCAAAGGAAAATTAGAGCGTGAAAGATAATCCAGATATTTCTCTGTAATTAATTTCCGGAGATGCGAATTCCTTTCTCAAATTTTCGACTCAATGCAGAATGCGTGCTCGAAAGGAAGATTCGAGTGTCGATCAACAGAGTGATATTTTCCTCTGATTAAATATTCTAAGGTAACTTTTCCATTTCGTCCCAAAGCTCCGGTAAAACTCGCAATTCCAACCCTAAAAGTACCTAAATACTCTTTCGCCAACGTGCAAGAGACTCATCACCGAAGGGAAAAAGCAAATTGCAAGTGTTAAACGACATTCCTCTTTGAATACTTACTTCGCCACCAGGTGAATAAAGTTTCTGAGATCTGAGCTGCTCCAGGATGAACTTATGCCTGAGAGAATCGCCGCTGTCGTCGTCAGCCTCGGACGACGGTGGCCTGGTGGTCACGGACAGGTCCATAGGGCTGACCTCGTTGTTGTTCAGCCTCTGCTTGGACCTGTCCTCAGCTGGAAGCAGCATCGTCTTCCTCTCGTACTCTAGTATCTCGCTAGAGCTCTCCTCCATTGCCTCCAGATCTTCGTCCTCTTTCTCAGACTCATCAGACACCTCTACCATACGGCTGCTTATCGGTTTGAAGTTTTTCCGCTTGTTTCGTGGCTTCTGGATACTCGTGATCTGCAGCTGAGCCTGGCCATCGTACTGGGAGTGGCTGTCCTGATCAGCGGTGCCCCGCCGGGTCGTCGCGTAGTTGTACACCGAGTCGGAAAGCATCTCCGCTGATGGGAAAGGAACATCAGAGTGACCTTTTTGCGCTCTTTTCGATCTCTTCCCTCCCGATATTGTTTCGAAATAGCCTCTTTTTTTTCTTTCGTTTTCCTTTAGCTGTTCCTCCTCAACTGTTCCACAGTGTAATTTCGTTCATACTTTCTATATGCATCGTTCCGAAGAGAATGCGATTTGTACAGAGGAAGAGAGAGAGAGAGAGAGAGAGAGAGAGAGACAGACAGACAGAGAGAGAACGAGATCTTAAACTGGCTGTTTTGCAGTAGGACGCGAAGGACAGCACAACACGTTCGTTGCGAATGAATTTTTAACATTAATTAGAATTCAGCCGGGCCGCAGAAACGTTAATTGAACGTTCTTGGAATTGCTGCCGGAGGAGCCGACCCGCGCGCACGGCTATTACGATTCGATTAAACGGGAGAGGATGGCGCATGACGCAAGCCGTCTACGTCTCCTCGCTAGAACGTCGTAGCGAGGGGTTGCTCAGGCGGTACATTAGAAAAGGAAGTGTCTTACTGGGGCCATACGGGCTGGTTACGGCGGACATCTCGATTCTCCTCAACCTGGCCGGCTCCTCAATGCATTCTGAAACAGAGGAAAAATAGACAAATTATTACAAGCTGGATAAAATTCCATCGAAGCACAAAGAGGGTAGAATTTATCTACGTATAACAATTCCCTGTTGTATTCGTGAAATCGCGCGTTTCGTGACAGAATATATAACGAAATGCACGGGAAAATGACTCGAACATTCTTGCTGCAATGTGAAGTAATTTATCACGTGGAAGAAATCTCGACGTTCAACCCTTTGACTAGTGCAGGTGAATGTACGCGTCTGAGAAGCTTCCTCGTGTCTGAAATACGTATAGAAAATTCTTTTCTTTGTTGTTACTGTTGTAAATTAGATGAAGTCAGATTGGTCACGAAGAGGGTGGAATTTTGAGGTGTCGTGCAGTTTCTGAAGGAAACGTGAAAGGGTTAAAAATTGAAACAGCGAGAGAATTTGAATAGCAAGAAGAAAAGAGAGTTCCGCGAACAGCTGACAGCGGCGTCAGAAGGTGGAAAGAATGGGCCGCGGACACGTCTTTGCCGGTTATCTATTTCTGTGTCTGTATGAAAGTGGGTTAGAGCAAGTTCAGCGAAACCCCCGTGGTCGTTGGGGCCCGTTACGCTGCCGAACCAAGAACCGTCCACGTTCGCACCGCTGGAACGAGACGCGAGAACAAGGCGAAAACAAAGGCACGTCGCCGTAACAAAAGCTACGCTGATATACGAGCGCTGCTCGGTCAGCCGAGTAGACGGGCCCGCGATAACGCGGAACGAGGGACAATTCGTTTCTACGTTCGCGAGCCACGCTACTCTATCTCCCCCTCTCTCTCTCTTTCCATCTCTCTTCCAGCTTGCCTCATGTGGCTTAGAAATTTGGCAACTGTTGAAATCATCAATTCCTCCCTTCGGGAATAAGTGGATTTGGATTTTTTGTTGTGTTCGGTGGGGATTGGAATGTGGGATGATACGAATCTACGTTCGACTTTTGACTCATACTTAGAACCTGGAAATTTGGCAATTTTTGAAATTTGCAATTCCTTCACTTAGAAACTGTAGAGGACTTGGATTTTTCTTTTCTTCGTTGGTCACTGGAGTGAGGGAGAATTCGATTCTACGTTCGACTTTGGAATTGTCATATGTAACCTAGAAATTTGGCAATTTTTAAAATTTGCAATTCCTTCACTTAGAAACTGTAGAGGACTTGGATTTTTATTTTCTTCGGTGGCGATTGGATGAGGAAGAATTCAATTCTACGTTTGACTTTTGAATCACCCTATACCTGTACCCTAGAAATTTGGCAATTTTTAAAATTCGCAATTCCTTCACTTGGAAATTAGAGAGGACATGGATTTTTCTTTTCTTCGTTGGTCACTGGAATGAGGGAGAATTCGATTCTACGTTTGACTTTTGAATCACCCTATACCTATACCCTAGAAATTTGGCAATTTTTGAAATTTGCAATTCCTTCACTTGGAAACTATAGAGGACTTGGATTTTTCTTTTCTTCGGTGGCGATTGGATGAGGGAGAATTCAATTCTACATTTGACTTTTGAATCACCCTATACCTATACCCTAGAAATTTGGCAATTTTTAAAATTTGCAATTCCTTCACTTAGAAACTGTAGAGGACTTGGGTTTTTATTTTCTTCGTTGGTTACTGGAGTGAGGGAGAATTCGATTCTACGTTCGACTTTGGAATTGTCATACGTAATCTAGAAATTTGGCAATTTTTAAAATTTGCAATTCCTTCACTTGGAAATTAGAGAGGACTTGGATTTTTCTTTTCTTCGTTGGTCACTGGAATGAGGGAGAATTCGATTCTACGTTCGACTTTGGAATTGTCATACGTAATCTAGAAATTTGGCAATTTTCGAAATTTGCAATTCCTTCACTTAGAAATTGTAGAGGACCTGGATTTTTTATTCTCTTCGCTGATGATTGGAATGAAAGGAAATTCGATTCTATTTACGTTTGACTCTTGAATTACCCTATTTGGGTACCATAGAAATTTGGCACTTTTTGGAATCTCCAATTCCTCCCTTCAGAAATTATAGAGAACTCAGGTCTTTTATTCGAAGCGAGAGAAATTCAATTCTGCGATTGACTCTTGAATCACCCTGTCCACCGTCGAAATTTGGCAATTTTAAAAATTCCATTAGAAATTACAGAGGCCTTCCAGCGGAATTTTTCATCCATATTTCCTCTCCCCATCGCAAAATGTTGATTACCACAGTGATCACGCTGACCAAGTCAGATCCCTCAATCGATTCGAATGACTCCCCCCAGTGGCATCCATGGCGCGCGGCCTAATTCGGCCTGAAAATCGTTAGTTCCGTTTTTGCCGGGCTCATTATCGGTTATTTATTTCCGTACTAAAGCTTGATCCATCAAGGGACCCCGACGAATATGGCGCAGCGGTTCTTCAGCTGCTTCGCAAGAAATCATTTTCCCCGTGTAACATCTCTTCGAGAATTCCATTCTCTCCCTTCTAACGTCCCTAATAATTTTTTCGCCTCCCGACAAATGCGTTAAAAAGAGAAAAATTTCACATCTACAATACCTAAACACGTCCATGTACAAGATTCAAAAGTCCACGATCGTCTACAGTCATCTTTCGGACAACGCGTTGGAAGGATCACACAGATCAAAGACCAAGGTTTATCGATTAGGCCGTAGAGTTTGGCGTTACGGTGAAAGGGGGCTGTTACCCAGTTGACAGGCAAAAGGACCGAGAGAGAGACCCTAAGGTTCTGGGTGAATTTCCCTAGTGGGCACGGCGGAAGTTGAACGCTATTGGAGAGCGGCGTGCTAGGCGGGCCACGTGACCAGTTCGAATACGAGGATACAAACAGGCGTTCCACAACGGGGATGCACACGAGTGGACGATATGTCCGAGTAAGAGAGAGACCAGGCTCTTTTTTTGCCGACTATACACAGAAGGGATAATTAACATCTGTTACAGTACGTATAGCGAGCGGGCCGCCCCGTTTCACCCCCACCATCGTCCACGGGGCGGACCTTGAATACATTATCACCCTGTTTGCACATGTACGCACGTACACAACACCGTCGAATCCGAGTGCAGCTCGATCGACCCTGGACAATGGGACCGGAGTGTGTCTTTGTCAGGCTGCTGGAATCGTCGAGAAGCATTTTTCTTCACCCTTACGCTGCATATACTTCTTTCGCGAATTTTCCTTTAAGAATTCGCATTTTCGGGGTGCTCGCTATTGTTAACCCTTCCGATCGGTTCGTACCTGAGCCGGCCTGACGTACGAATCTACATATACACGTTCGGATTTTGCGTGGAACGTCTGCTCTTGGTATACTAACCTCTTCAGGAGCGATTTTTTTGAAGTTAAAAGAAGTGATCTAATTTCTTGCACGACGAATGTTGGAATTTTCAAGAATACTAAAGCACGCTGATTTGAAAATAAAAAAGGTGCACATATGCAAGAAGAGTTAACGTATTTAATTTCGAGGATGATTGAATTGATTGCGATTCAATTAGAGCCTTCCAGCGTTCCCTGGACGCACAACTCACCCTCTGGTATATACAGGGTGTTTCACAGTATACGGACCTACTGCAGCGATGCACAAAGGCAACGAAAACAACACTATCAACAATTTTCAACGGCAAATTAAACCTGTTGCGCACATTCACCAATTTTCCCAACAACCCTTTATACACCCAACGTGTCAAGAAACACTCTAACCTTCCGAAAACTCTCGTTTCCACGACAACACCTCCAAGATCACTAATATCGAAAGTGTCCAAACTCGGCTTAATTGATCGAAGACTTCGAAGCGTTCGCGGCGGACTCAAGAGGAATTTCTCACCCCTCCGGATCTATCATTGTCTCCCGTCCACCGCGGTGGCTCGTTCTTTTTATCCCGTCGCGGCGTTCCTCCTCGGTGGATTCGAGAAAAGAGAAATTCCCGGCTCGCTGGCCTAGATTCCCGGGGTGCCGGTCTCGAACCCGCCGAGAATAAAGACGGAACCGCGCGCGGAAAGTGCCCGCGGCGGGAAACCTTGAAATTCTTCGGGCTATTATTCGAGAAACCCGGTCGCAGAAAAAAAAGATCTTGTGGCGACGAAGCGATGCTCTTCTCTCTCTCTCCTCCTAATGATTCAATTTGAATGGAAGACACATACGTACACGTAGGATAGAGAGAGAGAGAGAGAGAGGTGGGGTTGATTAGTGGAAGAAAAAAGGTTAGCAAGCGACGATCAACGGCGTTACGCCTCGACGATGATGAATTCAGACAGGTTTACCGGGAAAGGAATAGAGCCGGTCGAGAGAGGCAACCTAGGCAGGATGGAAATTGAGACATTTTCCTAGGACTTGCTGCCTTTTCTTCTGCCTATCTCGTACGTTCCGTCTTGGAATCCTTAACGAGCCTTGTCACACTTCGGAGAGTAACTGTGAAACTCTCCGTCTTGTCGATCATCTTACCAAGTGTTACACAGAGATTGATATTTGTTAGGAAGATTAAGAGATTTGTTAAAATTTGTGGAAGATAGAAGCGATGAATTATTAGGCTGTGGGGTAATTGGAAGTTGCGATACGGTTTAAGTACCCGCGAGAGAGCTATCGTAGCCTACTCTTCATTAAATCATCTCGAAGATGTCGCCAGACCTCAGACACCTCCCTCAGACGGTCGACAAGAAAGCATAACAGAGCTCGGAACAGAGGCCAGTCTCGTAACGAAGAAAAATTGAGTGAAAACAGGGCACTGGGCGTTCCAGTCCCCAGGGAACGGACCAGAGGTCAATGTTCCCGTCACAAAAGGATCATTAAGAGCGAGAAACGATCCGTACACGAAAATTCTGGCAACGTATAACACAGATCGGTGGGAGAGAAAGGGAGAGAAAGATAGAGAGAGAGAAACCGTTCAGGCACTCGACATAGCTCGACGCTGATGCCGATACCAGAAGCGGGAAAACAAAAAAGTCAGGCGACGTAACGTGTTCGTTGGTTCGTTCGTCAAACACT